GATATAGTAACTGCGAAATAAATTGTGGCGGCAATTCGACACATTTTCCATTTATGCTATTGGACCGGTTCTCCCAATTGTGCTACAGTAGTCTTTATAAACCTCTGCTACCGGTCCCCCAATTTAGCATGATGGGGGTAGTGGTGGTTTAAAAATACATAGAAAATATTTTTTTGTAAAAGTTTATGCTCCAACATCGTAAACTCGTGGTTAATTAAACGTAAAACTAAGGAGTATGAGAAAATATTGTTTGTACAATAATAAAATAATATTTTTTAATCTCGAGCAACAAGTTTTGTTGGGGAATACGTATGACTCGCAAAAGTGAATTATTGTTTATCGTATATCTTGTTCACACACACATCGTAGATAATTATGTACAAAAAGGTAAATAAATGAATATTGGGAACCTGAGTTCACAAAAGCATATTCAAGGATTAAACTATTAAGAATAAGCACTCCTTCAATTGATTTCAACGCACTCATGTCACTCATACATTCAGAAACATAGGATTCGAGTCATTAAAAATATATATAAAAGTGGAAGTAAACACATATTTATTTATATGCATCATCGATTAACAATCATGACATAGATTGTACTATAAATGCACCTCTAAACATAAACTTATATATGAAATGAAAGAGGAGTCAAAAAGTGACCAACATTTAAAATGTGAGGTCACATGAATATTATGGTTCATCATATGAAATTGTACCAACCCTGCTCGATCACCACCCTCACGTCGAGCTTTGTTACCTTACTAAGTAAAACTCAATCAACTTGAATTTATATGACCTGGCTTATTCAATTTAAGAAATATAAAAAACTAAGAGAACATACTTGTAAAATTATAGTTATGTAGGAGAGATGAGTATCCTGCATGTAAAATGTATGTAAGATGAGAAAGAATAAGATAAAAGAGATGAAAAAATAAATAAACCTTATATGATCGAGGTGCAATGTGGTAGACACAACCTCTTTCCACACTACAACTTGATATACAAGTCATTCGAGTCGATCTAAACAAAGAGAGAGATCAAGAAAAAAACAAATGCCGAAAAATAAAAATAAAAAAATTATGAGTGTGCATATAAACAAAACGTAAAAGGTTTTCAAAACATAAAGAGGTCGTACTTCAGTAAAATAAATTTTGCGTGAGACATTCAGACTTCTATCAGATATCATTTAAAGTTTGGTACGACATTGTAATATAGACTCTTTCTTAAAATGAGATATGATATATATATATGTATGTTACAATGTATATATAAATGTATAAGTTTATGTGTACATTTTATCCATCGTGTTATTATGTAAAGTGTTACCTTATCAACTTTCATGACCCGAGTGAGCTATAAAACTTTGATTGAATGTTTATAGCATGACTATGTTTTTACTGACCTTTTCTCATTCTGCTGGTATTAGGTTGGAGGTCAAATGGACCTATGAACGATTGATTTATTGAAAAGTCTTAGATATAGAGTTTTTTTTGAAAAACCTAAGATGCAAAATTAATTTATGCTACATTTAAATTTAGTATAAACTTGATTATTTTTGCATATATATTCAATATTATATGATTATTGACAAGCGTCAAAATCACTGTTGGCATCAGATGTTAGAGGTGGAAGTCCCAAAACTGCTATGTTTATGCTAAACAGACATTGACTTTGTTATTTTTGTATCTAACGCTATCTTTAATGCAACCATTATATTTGGTTTTGTTTTTTTTAACGTGCTTCAATGCCCGCAAAAAACAATTATGAGTTGTCGCGCCATACGAGTTTTTCTCACTTGAGAATTTAACCTTTCTACCAAGTCGTATTAACCGACTGGTGCGAGCAGCAAGGTTGATAAAGGCATTGATGGTTTATGAGAGTAAACCATGTGGTTGGACCATCGATTGTATACGAGAGAGGAAGGTGGAAGTTGAAGTCTGTGTTATTTCACTTACATAAGCATATATACTACGAGTGCGAGATTGATTTTTCTTTTTTTTTTAATTAATCTATATTGTTCTCTCAAATTCACCTTTACTAACTACTTACCACTACTCCTAACCCTTAAACCACCACTACCTCTCGAAGCTGTAGTCCCATTCGGGAAAATGACGTCAAGCGCAAAGTTCGGGGGTCCAGGTGAGGGTTGGCAAAAACAAAACATTTGAATCTTGTGGGCTCGATCGGAAAAAAAAAGTAAAAAAAAAAAAACTGCAGAGCTGAAAGGAAGGACGTCCGGGAAAGCCACAAAGGAAGTGTGCTCACAACAGTGGCTTTAAGAATGCATCTGCCCAGAATCAAGGAGACTCCTGCAAGCATTGCTACCTCTCACAATCAACGAGATGCATGGTACTCCCGCCAGAATCGACGACGGTCAAGGAGCAAAGTGTTGCCACCGGGGGGGGGG